GCGTTAAATCCTCCTGTCCCCAACCTTGCATCAGATATGCAATCTACTGTAGTTTCGATTGGACTTTTAGAACTGCCACTTGGCGGCCTCGTGGATGCTTCGTATGGAAGAGATCATTAAAGAACGCGCCGAGGATCCAACTCAAACACATGAAAATTTCCGTCTGTACCTCAGTTCGATGCCGGCTAAGTCGTTCCCCATTGGTGTCCTTCAGAATTCCGTAAAAGTAACCAATGAGCCGCCAAAGGGCATCAAGGCAAACGTTCGCAGGGCCTTGAATGACATGGCAAACGAGTATTTCGAAGACAGCGGTGAGTTTTCTGCTGCCCGTACTTATCCCAAGTGGGTTTGTTTTTTGTTATTTTCACAAAGAAAAATAAACTGTGCCTGTTTTTCTCTGCAGTCCTAGGCAATGACTGGCGCAAGATCGTCTTCGGCATCTGTCTCTTCCACGCAGTCATTCTGGAGCGTAGGAAGTTCGGTCCGCTGGGATGGAACATCCGATACGAATTCAATGACTCCGACCGCGAATGCGCTCTGCTCAATCTCAATCTTTTCTGTGGCGAAAAAGGCATTGCCTGGGATGCTCTTACCTACATAACTTCTGAGGCAAGTCCTGGGTGTTTGAAATCTCTTGACCTCACGAACATGTTTGTCCACTTCAGTACTTTTTGGATAATATTTGATGCATTTCAGATCTCATTGAAACCGGCACATAAAAATGTGCAACTCATGATAAGCATGCTACTATGCCACTTTCGGTAACATCTTTATTCTGTAGTGGCAAGCTGTCATTTAGGGCTTGTCCTGGGAGAGGGGGCCTCGCGGACCCTCGTGCCAGAATCATCCTGGCCAGTCGTAACCCCCGTCCTCCAAATAAATTCTAACTCATATTTACCAATTCCTGCTAGAAGACGCTGGACCCCTATTCGCATAAACTAGATTGTTTGCAGTTTAAGCGAAGCCTGACAAGTGCTAAATTAAGCTTTCGTGTAAATTGCACTCGATGCCCTCGTGAAGAAATTAGGAAATACCACTTTATATCTGGAACGTCCACGGTGGACACCTGTCGCTCGTCGTTGTGCCATGCGGCGGCGAAAAATCAGCCGCCTCTGAGTTAGTGTATGGTAATGCGCTTATTTCTAACTTTTCTCACCCGGTTTACGCAGGCTGAAAAATCAATTTTCAAATTGCCGATGGTTGTTTTATTGAGTCCTTTCAACAGCCCTACCCCCACCTTCACCGTTATCGTATTACACACCTGCCTACCGACTGTGTTCGTTAATAGTGTTGCACAATCATTTGTCGCCCCCGACTGAAGCTGAGATTACCCAACTTAAACGTTTGTATACAAACCATTCCGTTCATCAGCTCTGTTTTTATGTTTATGTCGCTGGTGCATCTTGTCTCCTCCTAGTTTATTGCAACGCGACAACGCATTTTACATCTATAAATCACTTCACTGCTTGACCTGTGAAAATAATTTCAGCCCTTCTTTACTCTGACCCAATTGTCACGACGTCGTTCCGTTCAACTCGGTGTTCCGTTTATTGCATCTCCTCATCTACTTTAATCTAGCATAACGCTCTTAAACTATCAATGGCTTAATTTCTGACCTGTAGTAAGGTCGAAATCCAGGACCCAAGACCTGACTTATAATCTTAACTGTCCCCTAATAGTTTAGCCTATCATTCCTTTTGGCCGAATTTTCGTAAACTATATTTTAGTAATAGCGATTGGGAAACAGCTGTCTGGAAATGTTTTCTTTATACTAGTGCATTGGATTATCTATCTACAGTAGATGGTCTAACCCATGAAATGTCTGGATCAAAAAGTTGAGGTGATAGTATGGCACATATTTCGCATTAATAATTTTGTTGGATGAATTGCTGTGAAGCGCAGGAAGCTGTTTATTAGAGAACCATTTACTGCGATTTTGTTTTATGGGAGGAAAAAACAACATTTTGGTAAATTCTGACGTTTCTTGATATCCAAGAAATGTCCTACGCTATTTAAATTTACAGGTGAAAAGTTACTGTTTGTGCGCGCTCTTCTATAAACAAATACTAATGTAGGCGGGAACTTTATAATAAATCTCTTGTGAAACCGGAAAATTTGGTTCTGCGTTCAGTTATTGCCTGCTTTTGTTTCAACTTCAGATTACCTACGGAGGCCGTGTCACGGATGCCTGGGACCAGCGTTGTTTGCGAACCATACTTACTCGTTTCTTCGCACCCAAGATCCTGGAATCGGGCTTCAAGTTCTCCGCATCGGGCATCTTCTATCCTCCGGATGTCGAGAAGCTTGCAGATTGTCGCGAATATGTTGAGACCTTCCCAATTCAGGACTCAACGGAGCTCTTCGCTATGCATGAGAACGCTAATCTTGTCTTCCAGGTTAGAGGGGCGAGCGAGTTTGCTCTCGCTGGCATATCAGCAGACCTTTAAACCATCTGCTACTTTGGCTTTTAGAAACAGTTGGATCGTTAATTCGGACTCTTTACTCCTTCATTTCGCACCCGAATGGTTGACTCGACCGTGTTTTTCCTTGTTCTTGTGCTTTTCTCTAGCAAAAAGAAACCCGAACCCTACTTCGTACAATCCTCGAGATCCAGCCTAAGGCTGGAGGTGGAGAGAAAGGTCAAACACCCGATGATATCGTCTTCGACCTGGCCGGTGATATACTGGAAAGATTACCCGAAAAGATTGATATTGAGCAAGCCAAGCCTGATCATTTTATACCGGACGCAAAGGGACGCACTAACTCACTCACCACGGTGCTCACGCAAGAGGTCGACCGATACAACAAACTCTTACAGATTATGAAGGCAAGGCGCATTTAATAGCCACATAGTTATCTACTTTTTTGTTATTAGTAGCTTTATAACTGTATTCATATTTTAGGTCTCACTGGAGCAGCTGCAGAAGGCAGTAAAGGGTTTCGTGGTGATGTCGGAGCAGCTGGAAATGATCTACTTCTCGTTTCTGTTGAATTCCGTTCCTGAGCACTGGGAAAATTCAGCGTATCCCAGTCTGAAACCTCTCAGTGGCTGGGTAAAGGATCTTATTCTGCGCTGTGAATTCATTCGCACATGGATGATCAGCGGACAACCAAAGTCTTTCTGGCTTTCCGGCTTCTTCTTCCCTCAAGGTGAGTACACATCTCAGGAAAGTCTTTTGGTATATTTTAACTTGACCCTCCCTACTAGTAGTTTAGTGAACTTTTGGTTGTCTTATTTGATGGACGATTTCTCAAGCACACATATTACATCATAGTTTCCATCAAAGACTGCTCGACTTTTCCCTGACATCTCATACGGTTACGCTCCCGTCCTTGAAGATTCTCATTAAGTGCTTGTTTCGTCGTAACATTTCAATTTGGACCCTACTGAAAAAGCCTCCCCCACCCTATGAAGAGAACGCGGAAAATGTTCACTCGCAAAGGACTTCATACCCGGATTAGGAAGGACTGGGCGTCTGTGGACGGGTTTAGATTTTGTTCGAGAAAAATGACAGCTCAACTATGTCAAGCAAAGAACTCCGGGCGCAGATGGTCGAACAGGAAGTCTAGCAGCAAATCCTGGGCATTTCGCCCCCTCCCCCACGTTATTCAGCGTTAAACCTGTGCCCTGAGAGAGGTATCCACACAAGCGGGCTACGCGTGAGTTATAGACCCTTTCACGACTGAAGACGTTGTTACTGTATTTCAGGACATGCAATCAGGCAGGTTTACGTAGTTGGCTTTCAAAAGTCGCTAAAACATTTGGCTTTCTAAAAAAATAAGTTGTTTATAACTTTTACTTTCCTTAGAAATTAATCCCTAACTTGGAGTAGATACAGGAGATACAGGCGAAGACTAAACTCTGGTGCAAAATATTTCGGCCAAAGTCCATTAGACACTGAGTAAATTAAAAAGACTATAGTTTGAAAACTGGACTAGCTACTAGAAAGCACACGAAACATGCTGGAGGACCCACTGATGAGCCGAACCCCTCGGAGTCGCGCCAACCAGGGCTAGAATATTGGTGAAACACCTGCCTGAACATTTAGCTATTATCAGGGTTGCCAGTATGATAGACAATTACTTAAAGTACAGTAGACGCCGCGGATCATGCAACATTTCGACATAGGCGAAAGATTGAT